TACTTCGCGGTCAGCCGAGTGTAAGTTTGTAGAGATTGGCCGACTGGTAGACTGAGAGTCGGACTGTGCAATAGCTCCCCCGTAATGTGGCCTCTATGGCAATCCCAATCCGTGGGACCTGAAACAGTTGTGGTGGCAGGCCTAGGGACGGCCCCCACCGCGCCAGCTACATGCGTCCTCTCCAGCCTTCAGTCTTCTTGACTTGGTTATGATCCCAGGCCCAGGTGGGACGGAGGAAGGAATGTAGTGTAGGTAACCCAAGGCTACTCTCTGTATAATCTAATTCATACGCAAGTCACCGCCCCGACGCCATCCCACGGTGGAGCACACGATGAACCTCGTTGAAAACGACGACTGAACATTCATGTAAAATTATGCGACTCATAGGCATCCCGAGTTTACACCAAAGAAGCTTATCTTTTTTCAAGCACAATGTTTATTATGAATTCTGAGCTACACCCACATAGTCATGTCCAAACACTTGCATTCATGTCACTTCAGTAACACCTTTCGGGGGGATGAAGTGAGCATTCATACGTGAAGCCTATTTACCTTCCCCCCCCAAACCACGTACACAATGCCGAAAAGACGCGTCATTCGACAAGGGAACCGACAGCAGAATATATGTCTTTCCCCATTTACTGCTTGTCTATTAAGCCGCTAGGGAATCAGTGTCGAAAATGCATAAACTGACTTACTTCTTCCAGAGAGCCAACCGTTTTTTTTTTCAAATGATTTTTCCAAGGTTGACCGTTTTATGATAGCGCAGGCCAGCAGAGCAGTTGGGCGACAACGTGGACTTCTGCTATCAACATCAATCAGTAGACAAAATGACAACAATGTCTCTTAAATTCACACGCACCGTAGTCTGTTTACGCAACCGGATCAGAACCTAGACCTGGTAATTTACGCATGCCAACTGCCCAGAGCCGAGGCGACCTTTGGACTTGAGCATCCATTCGGGTATTGCCAACACGCCGACGCCAAGTTTGGCAGGTGTCGGCATCTTCCGTATTCACCTTATCCATGCTTTGCAGACACCTATTAGCTAGCAAGCCGGAACCCCCCTGAGAAGGGAAGATCCGCCTGTTAACCTCGCCGTGGACAACCGCCACCGCCACCCATTCTGTCCATGTGTGGGGTAGCTTTCAATGAAAGTTATACAGTATGGCCTAGAATTCGTGTAACATGCCGACATATGTGAAAGATTGATACTCCTTGGCTAATCGGCATTGATTAAGGTTGTAGTACTGACTATTGTGTAGTCTATTCTGAACTCATTTCAATCACGATAGGACGCCGGCTTTTTAACGAGTTCCTTTCTGACAGCTAACAAAACCTATGTACTGTAAAAAGTGGCTACTTAAGTAGTATGCATTTTAAATCCGATTTTGACTGCCTTTATAAATTCGAATATGTTTTATGGAAAACATGCACGAAAAAAATATTTCTTGTACTCGCTTGGTAGCAAATTACGCCTTCTTAAAGGTTACTGATCTCATGGCATGTTAACGAACCTTGTAAAATGCGTTTTCGATTCGGAAGGATAAGTTAAGTGGAGTTACAATATTTATTATCTCATAGCATAATTGCAGGACAATTTAGACATGACTGGTTTCCGACCTTTGAATAGGCGTCTTTTTGGGCCACCTGTAAAAGTCGCACTGTCTGTTTAAGTAGTATGCACTTTTTTCGTGTGATTTTCGATGCCCTTACCTACATGACGTCTTCTTTTTGCTCCAAGGGAAGGGCTCCAAGGAAGGAAGTTTTCCAGATCCCAGGCAATTTAAGGCCCGACCAGCAGTTGCATTTGCGTTAGAGTCTTCAGTCTATGAGCTGTGTGCTTTCTGTTTAAGGCAAATCAGACGTTTCTCTATGCCATTGATGAGAAATCAGATACTCGTTGATGAGCGTTCACCGATCGCTAACGGGCTCATTATCGAGGGGCTACTAATCTACGCAGATAGCATTGCCAGTAAAGACAAGGGAGACTGAAATGGCCATTTCTGGCTTACTAGCCGTCATCAGCCAGTCATACCCAACCCCAGCCAAGGCTCGAAATCGCGACCTTTTGATGGAGAGTTTAACGCTCTAACCACTAGATCGTTGTTTTGCCTGTTTAAATCGGAGGACGGATAGCATTGCCAGCTATTACGTATGATAAAAACGTAAAATAGATGCGGAATATGATGTTAACTTCAAGAGGGGCATTAATCAAGAGCGGTCTTAAAACTCTCATAACTCTACACTGTTTAAAAGTCTGAATGTGCACTTCCTTGACTAGTAAATTGAAGAAAGGCGTAATTTTCTCCCAAGCTAGTAGGAGGAATAATCTTTTTTGCTCACCTTTTCTGTAAAACATGTCTGAATTTTTAAGGCTATCAGAAGTTAGTTGAAGAAATGCCTATTACTCAAATAGTCACGTTCTACTGTGTGCGGTTGAAAAAATGTGCATGCATCAGTGGGAATTCGGACATATCTGAACTACGTTGAGATTATGCTGTAAGGCGAGTAATATTACAATCTCACTTAAGTAATTATACCTGGTCGAGAACGCATTTCGGAATCTCGGTTGACACTGACACCGTATGTTAAATCAACACGCCCTCCAATATGAAGAGAAAGCAGGTGCGAAGCTCGTACCAGTAATACCCTCAGGTGTATTAGAACACCGAGCTGGCAAGTCGATTGCGGATTTGTAAAAATATCAAGCGCACACCAACCCACTGTTGTGGAGAATGTTGCTCGCCGCAAAGTAAGGTTGCATCTGTTGCTCAGGATAAAACCGGAACATTCAATCAGTGTGATGGAAAAGCTGTACGGAGATCTCTTACTCCGAGCCCAGGAATGGTAGGGGACTATTCCCCCTGAAGCCACTCCACGCAATTGCCGTTCGGTCAGCTATGACTTAATTGGGTGACCAGCAGGTTATGGTCCACACACCTTGACTGGGCTTGTCGAAAGTTGTTTAAGCTGAGAGGAACAACCACCCACCCAAACAAATATCTAACCAGCGAGAAGTTTGCTGTCCTGTTCGTAACGACCTGAACCCAGACCCTCAGTGGTTTAAGTTTTTAGTGGCAGATAATGCATGTGGTTCAACGGCCGTCCTTCGAGCGCGAGTGTCACCGGCTGCATGATTCTAATGTTTGTGGTTTTGTGTTTATCTTGAGGGAATATGCCCCGAAAGGAGGATAAGCACGTACTCAACAACCTGAGATAGTTCCACCAGGAACGTTGGACTATTTAATGCTCAACGCGATTGAATAGGG